GCTTGGAAATTGAAACCTGGAATTTTGACAATATATTCCTAACAAAAAAAAATTTTTAATTTATCCTCTGAACATAACTAAAAGAAAGAAAAAAATTGTGGCAAGGTTGGTATGGTAAACATATTTGTCGTTTAAAATGAAATCAAACGTCGAGCCGTCCGTTCGAAGCCCGGACAGGCTGCTAGTTAACCAGTCAATAAAAGATTTCCATCATTGTCTAATTAAAATTCAGTTCATTAAAGTAAATTTGCCGATTAGAAAACAGCAATAGCCCAGCATGGCCGGGAGGTCGACATCAACATAAAACTGTTATGATATGGCTTTACCGTATTTCCCAGCGCGCAGGGCGGAGGTGCGCACCACCCAGGGGAAATTTCGCGGCAGCTCTCTGTGGGCCTCTACAAGTTTTATGGACGCGCTACCTCCCGCTCACCCTACACCCTCAGCCGCCATCAACTTCTTATCGTTTCACATAACAACGGTTACCGGTAAACGTCGGCAAACATAATTACTAGACTAGCTTTAGGATTCATTTCACGTAACTTTATGCCGGATCTTAGTTAACGTTGTAGACGGTTAACATCTTTTCGTTCATTTTTAGGGTAAGATTAGCTTGAATATAATAGTTAAACAAAATAGACCGTTAAAGCTTTTCTTGCTTTAAATAATTATGAGGAAATATAGCAGTATCATAAGTGTATATTTACATTAGACTAATTAATTACAGAAAATAAGCGTTAATAAAAAGTTGACAAATAAATCCAGCATGGCTTTGACCCTTATCAAATTTAGAGCTGAAAATGTAAGTCATTTGCTAATCCTTGTACAAAATTGTTTTTTCAATGTTTAATCTACTTATATGATTTCACCTAAGAGCCGTAGTCCCCCTCATAAATTTGAAAGCATATATATAGTATTTAAATAGTTATCTATATACATATAAAAAATTCTAACTGAGTCGAATCTGTACATTAAATATATTTTAGAAAATCTTATTGAAATAGACATTATTATCTATACAGAGGCCGAATCTATAGTTTTAAGAATTTTTGTCTGTCTGTCTATCTGTCCGTCTGTTACCGCATCACGGAAAAACCAGTGGAGGGATTTTGATGAAATTTGGCATGGTGATAGCTGGTTATCCGGGTCAACATATAGGATACTTTTTACCGCGGAAAAATGTCACATTTCTGAGAAAAAATACAAAAACTGCAATGTAAGAGTATACTAATATGTAAAACCGCGGGCAATGCTAGTATTAAATTTATATATTAAATATGTCTGGTATCTAGGCCCAAAAATCAGAAGACAGGTTATTATTCATCTTGACTCTTGGTCAACTACAAACAGAACTAGTTTATAAAATTTATTAGCCAAATTAAAAAAATCACTTTTCGCTTACTTCATAAATAAAAAAATAACACACAAAGCGAATAAGTCTCATTTTAATAATAGTAATTGTTTGCAAGCGATAGTTGTTATGTTGAATAGTCCGTACCATCCGTTCTCAGTGACACGAGATGCTTTTACTATGGGAAACTGTCTGAATATATTATTAAAATAAAGAATAGGTTCTTATTAATAATTCTAGAAGAAAAATAATTTAATAACACATAATAATGATTAATATTGAGTAAAAAAGAAATGCAAAATCTGAAATTGTGTTTCAAATGTTATTACAGCCATGTGTACAAAATATTATTATTATATTGAGATTATAATAGCGGTATATGGTAACGATTCAATAATCTAAATTTGTTACTAATAATATAATAATAACTCGATATCCAATCTCTTATTATGTGAAGTGTACGATCCTATTAATACATTTTAAATTAAAATTTAATAATGTAAGCATACATCGGAATATATATAGTTAAGTTCAGATAGCAATGAGCGGGAGGTATTGCATTAGGTATCCCAGGAGCAGGCCGGAGAGTCGCAGCATCCTCGCGCTCCCCACGGGACGCATTACGAAAGCACTAGACTACCAGATCGATACCTTAAGTTAACAACATTACGTCGCTGTTCAACCGCTAACAACAATATGTTATATAATTCATGACTTTAAATATATTGTCCCACTTATAAAATAAATATTTGTTCTCTATATTGTCTTTATAATAAATATGAACTATCCACGAATGGATACTTATAATGATATGCTTTACATTAAACATACTCTAAATTCATATAAGAAAATAAAATATCTCCGTTATCATATTTGCGTAAAGAAATTAAACATATTTTTACTCGCTATATAATATAACATTTCATACCTTCACACAATATTTTCTAAATAATATTGTGTTATAAAATTGTTATGTGGGAATGAGATAATCTCCTGCGGTAAAGAGTAGCCTGTGTCACTCACCAGTTCTTCAACTATCAACAAAATTACGCCAATCCGTCACTCTGTTTCGACGTGAAAGAAAGACAAACAAACAAACGCACTTTCACATTTATAATATTGGTATAGATATAATCCATCTATTCCATACAAACCGTTAAAACGTACCTATATAATATGTATATGGTATCTATATCCATACCATTTCTTCTAGGTACCTACTTACAGCAGATCTATTAGTTTAGAAAAGCTTAATACCAAAATATTGACTGAGTAGGTCTTCATTATATAGTAAGATAATAATTTCATGTTCTAATAGAACATAATATGTTGAGGGTTATTTATTCTCGGTTTTAGGCTCCTAAAGCCTAAATCTAGTGATATATTTAATCTACCCGGTAAATACAGTAATTTTCTCTAACATTCATACACTATATTTCCTAGAATCCTGGATTGTAGAATGATTTAGTTTGTTCAGATATATAAATTTATCTTTGGTTTTTAAATAGTCAAAAAATAACAGGAAGTCGTATAAATGCCAACCATACGAACTTGCTTCAGGGTGTTTTATTGAATGTCCCCATATAAAAGTTATCTTTTAAATAAAAAGATATAACTGACTTTAAAATTACTCACCATTTTCATTATATTTTTAAAATAATTATTCTATGTCTAGGCGTATCATTTTTCTTGAAAATGATATGGGTCAAACATATTCATATACAAGTGATAAATCAAAAATTTTAAAAACCCTCGACCATCTTAGACTGATTTTCATCAAACAAAGCTAAGAACACGCCCGACTAATTCACCTTTCAAACAAAAAAACAAAATCAAAATTGGTTCGTCGGTACATCCGTTCGAGAGCTACGATGCCACAGACACACACACGTACACAGACACGTCAAACTTATAACATCTCGTCGGTTTTGCGTTGGGGTTAAAAAATGAATCATATCAATTAATTCACAATTTGAATTAAATACTTCCTTTTTTATTTCGGTCAAAAACGTACCCTTTATAATTTTATAATATGATTTATTGTATTTCTTCGAATTTTATGGGCTCAGAGGAAACTTTTGGTTTGGAAAACTTGCGTGGACACACAATTCCAATACACAAAGGCCTCTTAGGAAGATTCTAGTTTTTTGAAGCATCAGCCGGGATCCATCTCTGAGTAACCCATAGAGAATTGCTTAAAGATAGTCTCCGGATAATGCGTAGGGACTATGGAAATTATTATTATTATTATTATAAACCTGTAGTGTCCCACTGCAGGGAAAAGGCCTCCCTACTCTTTCTCACTTTGGAAATTATGTAAAATTAAATAGGATTATAGAATGTAGTTTGGATAGGCTACAAAAGTGGACTACTGGATAAGACCACCGGACGACCGTGTGCTCAACAGTCGTAGATTGATTATTTCGCGGACGGTGATTCGCCTTCCACTGATGAGCCCCCACAAAGCGGCAAAGAGTCTTGAACGCAGCATCGGCGTGATCGGCTAATGGTATCGAGAGGTGTGCACCGGTTTCACCGTCGCGAGTTAGCTCATGAGCGGGTTAACCTGTTATTACGCAGATTGAGCACTTTTCCCCTTTCGAACCCTTAGCTCTTGCTCTCCACTCTGGACGGCCATTGAAGGCAAGTCAGAGGCGGAGGACAGATGGTGTTTCCCCCGGGAGACCTCAGTTCCATGGTGTCGTCATTAACCAACCACAATCTGCCCTGCAGGCTTATTGTTTTTATTATTATAGTAGGTACCTGAGCGACTGAGCTTCACGGCGTTTTTCGGAGTAGATATAAAAATTGCGATTTTTTTTAGAAAAGACGTCTACTTATACCTATGTGTAGATAAACTTAAAAAGCAAAACCTTATCTAAATACAAAATTTGATTCAAATCTTTAGAGCCGTTTCCGAGATACTAGAAATAAATTTATATATTATGTATATAGTACAAGAATTGCTCATTTAATATTATAAGATATATTATAGTATTTATAAAATAAGATTAATCATAGAAATACGGCTGGCTACCTCGTCTTTGTCACGAGAGGCAGGTTTGAATTAATCGAGTATAAGAGATGGATCTGCCGTGCGCGACCACAGGCCGTGGTTGCTGATAAAATGCTTATATTAGAGCGCCGCTGCCGTCTGTCCATCACACGACAACATAGACCTCGAAGTGACGCCATCGTTAATATATTTAACAATCAGGGTAACATTCTGGGTTATTTATATTGTACTAAAAATATTACAAAACATTTTATTATATTATATGATACTTAGTTTATAAAACGAAAAATATTTAGGCAGTTAACTTTTGTCATCCTCTACTTCTAGAAAGTAAATGTACGAGTAGGTATACTATTACTAGTAAGTAATCTCTTATATTGTATTGTATCAATTTTAGATAAAGTTAAAAACATATGTAATTAGTATCTTAATGTTAACTAACTAAAAGAACTTATATTTCTTCATGTTTACATTTTGAAATTTACAAAATAAGAACAGTAATAAAATTAAAACTATACCTAATACGCAATTAACTTCGTAAAATTACTCTCATGCCTACTCCATTTGTTTACATACATTAAGCCCTGAGATGGACAGTAGACATACTAATTTATATTTACAAAACATACTTACGCTTAAGAGATCGCGGCTTTGCTTGTTTTCTTCTAGACATGTTTTACTTCGAAAACATTATGTTAACAATGAGTTCCTTATATCCATAAAACTCCTAAGATAGAAAAATCACTTTAATTTATTTGATTTGTACTGTTTTTTAACAATGCGAAGAAAGTTTATCGGGAGACGTACACATTGAAATCGCAACATGAGACGCGAGGCCGCACGGCTCACCCCGAATTCACTGAGCTTACTGGCGCCCAACAAGTGGCAATAACAATATTGTAAGCTGCCGCGCAAACTCACATAAGACATCGCTTCGTTTGTTCCTAGCACCCAGTACGGTGCTAATCCTGATCTCCACGACCATAATACTAGCGATTGATAAGTGCAGTAGTGTTCTTACAATAGTAATAATCACGATTCATGGTTTTTGAACAAATTATATTGAAATATAATACTAATAAAGATCTTTTAATCTCAATTTAACTTACGAGTATTATGATATTCATATTACTCTATATCTATCTGCCTCCATCAAGGATAATAAATTAAGGTGATGTGCATATATACAACATAGAAATATATTACGTACATATATACATACATGCCTTCTACAAGTTCCTGAAACTATACTTAAATAATGAATATATGTATGCAATAGTTATATTATAAGTATAATACAATAATATAAATATCCACTGTAGTACTTGAATGAAACAGTTACTCTACCTTATAATATAGAGTCCTTTAAGACGACCGGCGCGGGACTCACTTTAAGCATCATTATTAATGTTCATATTATAACGTACATATAAGTACATATAGCACATATGATTTTGCAGGTATTAGGTAGGTACTTATATTTATACAAAGAGTCTACAATGTTCTAAAACCGAGGAAGAAGCAACTGTTTCCCATTATATAATAATATAATGAATTAAAAAAATTGTTACTTAACATCTTATGAAAATAGTACCTAAGTAATGATGCGCATAGCATTCAACAAAAAAAATATAATATATCTATTTTTTATTCATCGTACATCGTCAGTGATTATTCATTACCATTAGGTACGTTACTAACCCTTTACAACGCCCTTTTGAGCCTTGGAAAATGCATTTACGCATACCACCTACATACATACAGGTGGTTATGTGAGACTCATCAGCAAGATAAATCAGTAATACCCACTAAAACCAAATGGAACTTCTTCTGTTTTAATAGGGTGTTGCAGGAGCGCTTACGCACTCTACCGCGACGCCCCGACGGCAGGTCTGCTAAAACAGACCACAACAAACAAGGGATTACTCCCATGACCTACTATGATACCACGAGAGAAGTAACAGGAGCAACCCACAGGTACTTCGGTGAGCCACCTCCTGTGTGCATCGTTAAAAATAAACTATTTACATGTAAAGTATATAAAGTAATAATTTACTTAGTCCTCATATAATTAATCTAACGTCAAAATATTTAGGAATCGTACACATTAGGTAGCGCACTATGTTGTAGATATTTTTCATTTTTTTCAAATGTCCTCTTTATGTACATATCAGTTTCATTACGCATCGCTACTTTAGAAATAAATTAAAATAGCAGCGGTTGGCTAATATCAGCATCCATAGAAAAATAGTCGCAACTCGAAGTACCTTAAACAATTTTTAAGTGCTTCAATAATCTTAATAATTCTATCAAAAAAAAAACTAAAAATTTTGATACTACTTATAATATTTACTTTTTTCTGCTTAATTCAAAACATGAATGAAAATGAAATAATATTAGTCCCGCTGAGTTTCTTTCGCCAGTTCTTCTCAGGTCTGAGGCTTCTTTTTTCCGAATTGGTAGTAGACTCATGAGGTTCAGTAAAAAAAATGTAATAATTTAATGCTGAATAAAATATTTTGAATTTTGTATAATTTTAACTATTTAAGAATAAGTAGCAAATACACAAAAATATAAATGGAAGAACGAAACGTATTTGACATTGACCATGGCGAATGTGACGTTTTTAATCAGCTGTTTCACTGTCACTCGAACCTGATATCAATGTCAAATTAAAGGTGCTACCTATGCGGAAAAAAGTTATTAATTAAAAATAAAGATAATTTACAATGTGAGTTGTGACTATAATTTACATTTGAGTTCTAATAAGAGTGAGCTATGGCAGCACAAGATCTCCCTAATGAGGTAATACGTCTAATATAAAATAAAATAGAAGTTTCCTTTGTTTGCACCTTTTATTAGTTATCAGTTTTTCACGTGATCAAACATAGGTCAAAAGATAAAGCCTTCAATATTTAAAGTACAACAATAACATTCATACAATCAAGATATTATTAAAAACTTCCATACTTCATCATAAATTTTATAATCAAATAGTAAATAAGTATTATATATTCATGTAACTTATTCGTTTGTTAACAGGTCCTTGTATATATCTTTAAGTATTTGTCAAGCACTGACCGTAAAAGTGCCAGTCAAACATGTCAGTCATGGTATTCAGCAGCTAATGATTATTGTTTTCTTAGAAACAAAACAATAGTATTTTTTAAAACTGATTTAAATGCAGAAACATCACCAATTCAAATAATTGAAAATTCTGTTGTTCCCTATGACAATTTTCTATTTAGTGAAGTAGAAATATCAAGTAAATTAAATAATTTCTGGAACAAAGTGGGAGAGAATGTGAAAAGCTTAACTATTCGAAAATGTGATATCCACGAGAAAGTTATAGATAATGTGTTAAAAAAATGTACAAATCTAGAAACACTAAATATACAAGGCTGTAAAGAGCTTTTTATGTCAGGATGCTTATTAGAAAAAACTGATGGTTGGATAACTAATGGTTTCAAGAATTTAAAAAGTCTTAATTTATCAGAAAATAAATATATAACAGATGCACTCTTCTACAGATTTGTTAAAGGTGCTCCAGCACTGGAAGAGTTATGCTTATCTTTATGCCCATTACAGTTCCATGGTGGGTTCATTAAAAAGTTTTATCCCAATACAAGTAATATTTTTGATAATCCTTCAGAGTGTGTTTTTACATTCTATTTTGTTTTGCAATTCATTGCTTCTAGAGCCAAGTATATAAAGAATTTGGTGTTTTCTAACACTCTCATTGATGGTGCAGCTTTGAAATCTTTATCTGAAATAGCAGACTTAAAGTTAGAAAGCCTCCACCTAAATACTTGTGATCAACTTACAAATGCAGGCATTATTGCATTAACAAAACATCAAAAATCTTTAAAAGAACTTGATATTGGATTATGTACCAGAGTTACCGATCAGTCTCTTATGTATATTAGTGACAATTTAATAAATTTAGAATATATAAATATACAAAGATGTAGAGCTGTCAGTAATCTTGGTATTACAGAATTACACAAGCTTAAAAAATTAAAAAATCTTAATATTTCACAATGTGAACTCATCACACGAGAAGGTATAGAAAATGGTATTAGCAAAGAAGAAAACAGAACATTACAAGAATTAGATATTAATTCATTAAACTTAGTTCAATCTGGTATTATAATGATATCTGAAACTCTGTCAAATTTGAGATATATAGATTTGAGTTTTTGTTTCAATGCAGTAACAGATACATCTATACAAGTGATATTTAAAAATCAATTATTATTACACACCCTAAAAATTAGTTACTGTGATAAAGTATCTGATGCTGGTTTAACTGGCATGGGGAAAATAGAAACAGAAGATGAAGAAGGGCCTGTAATGTCTAATTACAATGAAGCAAGTGCGCCCAATAGAATACATTTAGGTTCAAGAGCTGAAGAAGAAATAATTCGTGATGCAAGAAGAAAACGTGATGTTATGAGAATGTGTGAAAAATTAACAATGGATTCTTACTCAGGATACTCTTTGGCTCGAATAAAGTCACTCAGAGAGTTAAATATAAGTGGTTGTAATAGAATTACAGATGTGAGCTTAACCTATGCATTTTTTTTCAAAGAACTTCAAAGTTTGAATTTAAGCAGATGCCAACAAATAACTGTTGATGGAATAAAACATCTAGTCAAAAACTGCCCGAGTATTGAGTACCTCAATCTAAATGATTGTTATAATTTAAAAGATGATGCTGTGATAGAAATAGTGAAAGGATTGCACAGATTACAATATTTAGAATTACGAGTAAGTACCCATATACATATTATTATTAACATTCGCTTTATAAATACGTAATTACTAATCATCGCATATTTAATTAAAAATAAATAAATATTAAGATTTCCCTCTGATTTTTTATTCTTTCTAATAAATTAACAACTACACTTGCGCCAAACTTTAATTACACCCCACGTGTCATTCGCTGATGTATTGCAAAAGTTCCGAAAAGTAAGTCTACGTCACTCAGGTATGATGAATGATCTCGCTTCTAGTATTAATGTAAGAACGACCAGGGAGAGATCAGGCGCAGGATAGACGACTTTTCGTGCTCTCCAAGGCACGGAAGGGTATCACCGTTACCGAGAAATTCTTGACAGAAAAAATTCAATAACTCGACTTTGGCCCGCACCTGGGCTCGAACCTAGGGCCTTCAAATCTGCAGCCGTATAGCTAGCTGCTAGCCAATAGACCACCGAGGCATTAGCTATAGAGCTAAATAAATATTAGTTTTGACTTTATAAGCTGCATATTTAGCGATAATTTGCTGTCATAATCTAATGTTTGTAACCAAAAATATCAATAATATTTTATTGTTTTCATCCAGGGATGCAATCAGTTGACAAATAAAACAATAGAAGCTGTAATGGATCATTGCAAAATACTGAAAATGCTAGACATTCAAGGCTGCCATAATATATCGGCAGAGTTGGGTTGCGCGCTAGGAACCCTGCCTACACTTCATACTGTATTGATGTCTAAGCCAGGACCATATATTACTGACGGAGTCAAGAATAGATCACCGGCACCCCCACTATTGCCTTCATTATTGAGGAGGCTACGATTGCATTAAGTTATTAAAGTCACATTGTAACTTTGGTAACAACACAGCTTACAAATATAATTGTTTATGCTTCTCTTCTTATTTTATCAACTGTTGCTTAGTTTTTACATAAAAATTGAAATTTATTTGTTAGCTCAATTGTTTTAAAAGATATTGGAACGTAGTAAAATGTGATGGTTGTAAATATATTTTCTTTTTACTAACTTATAAATTATATTTTTAACAGCTAATTTGCGTATATTTAGGTATTTTTCATTAATTTTATAATATTTACTTTAGTGTTGCCACAGATGACAATCCTGTACTAATATAGATGGAGTACCTTACTTGAAAGAAATTGAACGACATTCATTTTCGAGGTTTGGAATTAAGTCTAATAAAACGGTTAACCATTCAAAATGATTTTAGAAACACCTTGTTACCTATTAAATATGTAACCCATCTTCTAGCAAATGGAATGTGTTAATCATTTGTAATGATAATTCCATCATAGGATTAACCCTATCGAAAGGGTTACCACATCGTTTAGAAGTCAGTCTATGAGGTTAACCCAAAACTTCTTTTTAAGGAGTGATAATGGAATATAATCCATAATTTGTAGTATAATTAGTAGCGTAAATGATTTTCGCTACCTACCTATCTGTCTAAAATAATTAAACGTTTATGTATATGTCTGTATCCGCTTAGGAGGTTATTTTTACTTCATTCTAATATTTTAAATAAAACCTATTGTAACAAGTATATAACGCCGTTGAGACGTCTTAAACCTTAGTCTCTCCAGCCCCCATTATTACTGTAAAGCATTCGAAACCAAAATTCAAAATAAATCCGCGAAATAATCCGAAAAGATAGTTTTATTTAAAATAAGGTCTACCCTCCATAATTTAAAATGATAAATATTCGTATCGTTCTAATATGTATTTTTTGTGAATAATTTGAAAGCCTGTATCACATTTTTTATTGGGTAATACATTATAGATATGGTTATTGGGAAACCCTAATAAAAAGGGTTAACTCTAGGAAGGAAATGTTATTATTAAGTCTGTTGACTAAATATCCTCCTTATTGAAAGAGATTTTGTGAAAACACTTTACAATAAACCATGTTATAACCCTTGAAAGGGTAACCAATTAGATTCCTGTTCATTTGGGATATTCATCGGGCTAACTTATTTTGCCTGAATAAACGATAGATGGCGCTTAATCGAAAACTGTCTAGCTATTTTCTTTTATTAAAATATATGTCTTTTTGGGAGATTAATTTTCATAACCATTAGTAAATAGTAACAATCCATACATGTCACAACATGTAATATAGTACTTGGCTGGACACGCTACCGCGTGTGTTGATTAAGATTTTTTGACCTAGTTTTTCTTACTCATAGTATGCCTAAAGTGAAGTAATTCCACCTTTATGCGGAAATCGGACCGCTAATTTCGTACATCATTATCCAAGACCACTTGAAAAATTTCACCATATGTAAGTGCAGCTTTTTTCGGTACATGTATTGTACACTAGCGTTTTACTTTTTGCGCGGAACCCTGATTCTTTTATAAAATAAAAGTTACTCCTTATAACACCAGCTATCTGTCATTGAAAGTGCCATCAAAATCGGTCCAACAGTTTCGGAGATTAGTCGGAAAAAGAAGCATAGACAGATAAGAACTTTAAAGACAAAACTACTCATTTTTTTCTTATTAGTAGGTACCGTTTATTTGTATTTAATGCAAACAATTCTCCAATTTTATTTACCTATCTGTAGATGTTGAAAAATCGAAACGTACACCTATATTAGCAACGTACGTATATTTTTAAACGTATACTTCGTCTGCAATGAATTAGAAGTTTTTATCTATCGATAGGCAACAATTCTAGAAACATCTGAAACCGTAATATAAAAGTATTTTTTTATAACGAACTTCCTTATCATTCTTATGATACGAAATCTCTAAATTGCTAGCTAATAATAATAGTTTCTTTCAACTTCTTGGTACCTAATATTTTATTTGTGATAACTCTTTAATTATAATTGTTAAACAGTAATATGTTTATTTTACATTCATGTTTATATTGTATATTTATTGAAATTGATATTATCTGTTATGTATGCTGACGGGGACAAGTGAAATGCTTGGTAGTTGGATACGCACTGATTTATTGCTCGACAAGCTTCGCGTTGTGGGCGCAGCCACTAAGTACCTTTTTAAGGTTTACCCACACACATAAATATATAACAATCCTCCCCTTTTAGATCCTTACATTTAAAAATAGCAATTAATACATTTTCTTGTAGTCGATATATATATTTAGATTTTTAAACAAAGAAAAGGCTTATAATTAACCCTAGGCAACGGACGCAACGACATCTCCGACTGTCCCGCTCTGGAATGGGAGCTATCCCCGCTTTGGGATTCTTCTTCGTGACACACTCTATTGTCAGCAGAAGCCTCAAAGAATTCCTCTCTATCTATGTCTTCAACAGATGAATTATTTATCGGCGTTTCAGTTAATTGCGGACGGTTATCGCTTCTTTCTTTTTCTCGATTCTGTATCGTAGCTTCCTCGGGCAAAAACGAGCTTTCCGGCGTCAAGCTTGTGTCGTGAATATCGACATAACTATAGCTACGTTCGATTGGCTGAGAAGTGTTGCTGCTATCCGTGCCTTTATAGGGAATCAGCTGATTTTTATGTTTTTTCAAAACCGCCGAATTTACATAATCTTTAATTATATAAATAGTTTTTCCTATTTTTTTTATCACTAAACCTCTATTCCAGGTAAAATTTTTATTAAGAAAATGTTTTTTATACATTATATCATCACCGGGTTTAAAACATTTATCATTATTACCTCTGTAGCTTTTACTCTGTAAACACTGATTACGTTCAATTCCCTTAACGACAGTGTCACATGAGAACTTCTTTGATGGTGACGGGTTTATAAAATCTAAGCGCGAACGAAGTTTCCGTCCATACAACAATTGAGCAGGCGAAAAGCCCGTCGTAACATGAACTGAATTTCTATAGTCAAAAAGATATTTCAATAAATCATTATGATTTTGTTTAACATTTTTACTCATTAATAAACAAGACTTAATACCTCTTTTGACAATTTTAACGTAACTTTCCGCCTGTCCATTACTGGCTGGATGATATGCGGGGGATGTTACATGCGATATTCCGTTAGAATTACAAAAAATTACAAATTCCTTTGACATAAAACTTGTTGCGTTATCACTAACTAAAGTATGGATTAGACCGAATCGTGACATAAAATCGTATAACTTACTGATAACAACATCTGAAGTAGTCTTATTCATATTGTACACTTCTACCCATTTAGAATACGCATCTACGATCACTAAGTACGTCTGATTGTTAATAGGACCCAGAAAATCAATGTGTACTCTATAAAACGGTTGTGGGGGGCACGGCCATGGCGCCAGCGGCGCACGCGCTGGTGAAGCCCTTAACTGTGTGCAAATGCCACACCTACCAATCATTACCTCTATAGCCCTGTCTATCCCGGGAAACCAAAATCTACTACGAGCTTCAGCTTTGCACTTAATAATACCTAAGTGTGTTTTATGAAGCTCTTCTAAAAGTTTACTTTGCAAGTTGCTTGGAATAACGACCTTATGGCCTCGCATTACCACCCCGTTTTCATAAGATAACTGTGTTTTACATAAAAAATAAAAGGACGAATGTAATCATGAGAACATTTTTTAGGCCATCCATTTAAAATATATTTAATTATCGAATTTAGAACTACATCTTTTTTCGTTTCTTCACGCAATACGTCAAGAGTAACAGCCAAACTACCATCTACTACAAAATTTATATATGACGCCCTATCATCAAAAAAATTTGAACCCACAACCCCATTACAGCTCGCCTCTTCGCGCAAACTTTCATCATTAACGCTTGCGCGCGATAAATAATCAGCACAGTTGTCATCGCTGCGTATATACTCAATTTTAAAATTGTATGCACTCAAAAACATTGCATACCGTTGCAACCTATTCGCTGAAACCTCAGGTATGCCACGATACGGGCCAAAAATAGTAATTAAAGGCTTGTGATCCGTCCGTAGAATAAAAGGTATCGACCTCCCGTATAGATATTGGTGAAATCGACGTACCCCAAATATAATAGCCGTAGCTTCTTTTTGTATTTGTGAATACCTCCTTTCAGCTGAATTTAAGGTTCGCGATGCAAAAGATACCGGTCTTTCTATATTATTTTCATCGACTTGTGACAAAATTGCGCCTAACCCGTTCGGTGAAGCGTTTGTCAATTACATAACCTAAGTATTCTATTTCATCCTTAAAAAAACTGCATTTATTTTTTTGTAGTGTTAACCCTGCATCCTGTAAACGCTGGAGAACTGCATGTAATCTAGAAAGATGTTCGCTCTTACTAGCACCTGTTACTAATATGTCATCTAACATGCACAGTACCCCTTTCATACCCGCTAACACACATTCCATCACACGCTGAAAAATGGCAGGCGCACTAGCCAATCCGAAACTTAACCGTGTATACTTAAATAATCCTTTGTGCGTATTAATGCAAGTCAATTTTTGTGATTCGTCATCTAAAACGCACTGTGCGTAAGCTTGAGAAAGGTCTAATTTACTAAATTGTTGTCCACCGTGCAATTTAGAGAATAATTCCTGCACAGTAGGCAATGGGTACTGATCCACTAACAGCTGTTTGTTAACGGTCACAGAATAATCTGCACACAAGCGAATCGTTCCATCCCGCTTTAACACGGGCACAATAGGTGACGCATACTCTGAATATTCAACTGGTTTTAATATGCCGACGCTTACTAACCTATCTAACTCCTTATCTATTTTTTCACGTAGTGCGAATGCAACCGGCCGCGGCTTAAAAAATATTGGTTTGGCATCTTTACTTATATTAAGCTTTACTTTATATTTATTAAACCTCCCTAATTCGTCTGAAAAAACTAAAGGATATTGTGTTTGAAATTTATCAATTAA